GGAGGTGTCTAGAGACGTTTATCCTGCCACACGCCCACGCGAAGAACCAGGAACTGAGTTTAAGGCGGCGGTTCAATAGTATGTTGCATGCCCTCGAGGCTCTGAAGGTTACATTTTGTACTCTGACCGCCGGCATGGTGACCTCGTTTTAGAAACTCACGCCTGAACCTAGCCATGGCGGAATGGATTCAAAGCCTTTGCCTCAACCTTCAGCCTTAACTTTTTGGTATCCACGCAAACAGAATCAGGTGAGCTGGTGCCAGATGACACATAGGGCAAAAGAAGCGCCGCAGGGAAGAGCGAGTGGTACATATGATTATCCCCTTCGGCCAGATACAGGTTTAGGGGTGAAGAAGTATCCAGGGGGGACCACAAAAGGGGGCTCGGATCCCTTCATTTCATCTTATGAGTCCCCCTAGACGGGATCCATACTTTCAAGAAGCTTCCATTTACTAACTTACTGTTTCGGAACTGCCTGTGGACAGTGGACAGGGTGGGCGACAATCAGCCACACAAACTTGTTGGCCATCTGAAGCTTCGAGGGTGTGTCGACCACGTGTTTGGTTGCTGTTATGCGGGGATCTACTGCTTTTTCTTGCTGGCACTGCCCACTTCCTAGCGTATAAGGTTTGCCCAAGACGGTAGTGCAAAGCCAGGGTTGGTTCGGGCATAGCATGCCAATGGTATAGCCTGCCCCAAGATATAGTTTTCAGCCCATTGTTAATAACTGTAGTAATCTTAATTCTACTTTTAAAAGTGAAAGCCGTAATAATTAGAAATAATCATGGTAAGAATAACGCGTAGTGCAGCCATTGATATGTTTACTAAGCACAGCGCGCTTGCAAAGGGTCGAAGGTAGGAAAGGATTGGCCACAGTGATGGTTCCGTTGGTGTGCACTGGGCCGGGCTTTTTGAGGGAACAATATTCGAAAGCATTGACTGACTTGGAGGCTCTAGGGGATTTAGTAAGTAGGTTAATAATGATAATCCACATGGTATCCCTAGTTACCAGCCCTAGTTATGCCCCTTGTTAACCTACTTACTGAGTTCCCCTCGACCCTCCGAGCACTGGTGGTCAGTACGGAGTGAAGAGCTTGGTTATAGGGATTGCTATAGGTGAGAGTGTATGGGGACTGACCTATGAATCCATTCCTCCATTCCCAAATTACCATTATTAAGTTTCGAAGGTTATTGGTTTAGGGGTTTGCTGTTTCTAAAGGCAGTCCTTGCGGAGGGCTCCCAACAGTTCCACACTCTGCATTCTGAACTTTTAGACTCCAACCGCCCCAGCTACCCTAACCTAAAGCCCTGCCATCCTTCGACCTTGAGCCTGAATCCAGTCCTATATCTTAAACTCGGAGTCCCAAATCCTTGATTTTGAAGCCTTAAATCCCAAACCTGAACTCTCCAAAGTGTGGAGGAGCTTCGTCGGCTGTGGGCTCGTTTAGGAGAGGCCAGGAGATCCGCTGTTCTGGGCGTTTAGGGGTGCAAGAATTTCGTTTCCGAGGGGCCAACGAGGAGGGTCTCGAGATTTGTGTCCAGGGGTTGAGGGAATCGCATTCTGGAGACAAAAGGGGATTAACCGGGAGTGGTGACCTTTGGTTGTTGGTTCTTGCGCAGCGGCCCGCGGCGGGGGGATATAGGCATAAGCGTATACGGCTGTCAATGTTTGAGTAGGCATTGGTAATTTTGGATCCCAATTAGTGTGGGAGGCCTTGATTGTGCGAAGCTTCGCCGAAAAAAATCAGCACCCCCTGATTCGTTTGATTCTGCGAAGTTGCGCGGCCAAAAAGAATAATTCTCAGAAAGATTCGATAGAAAACATTCTACATGCTTTCTGAGCTTTTACCTGAGTCAATCCTGTTCCCTCCTACTATTGAATTTATTTCAAACCTAGGATCCAGATTCGTTTGGGGAGGTCCCCCACTTACATTAATTATCATTAATTAGGGACCCTTTTTTGTTAGGGGAGGGGGGGTCCCCTACACTAATCAGGACCCTAAATTAGGCAATTAGTCATCACTTGCCCTTCTATCATAGCAAAACATCACTCAAAAAATGATATGCCCCATGTACTGCCATTCAATACCAGGGGTATACATATTGCTCAAGGGGTTGTGTAGGTTTGAGGAGGTGATTAAAACCCAGTTCCACCACCTCCAACTGTTCAAGATTGGTTGGGGAGGGGATGGCAAGTGGGTTCGGGTAATGGGGCCCCAGATGAAAGCTTCGTGCAAAGCTTCCAGGCGCTGGACCTATGCCACCAGCAAATTCAATCATAAACCCCAACAAGCTAAGCTCCATCCCATCAGGAGTTGTGCAAAAACCCATCTAACTTTCTTGTGTGATGCTCACTGAGCCCTGTAAATGCCTCCGTCCGCAGTACGAAAGGTCCACCGTGAGGCTGCCGCCCAACGCGAAGCTTTGGGCCTGGGCCCTGGGGTCCAAGGGCCGGACCAGGGGTTAGTATCACCATATGGATAATCAAACGGAAGAGAGAAATGGAAAATGTAATGGAAAGTGAGATCATGTTAAGGTTTAGGGTCGGAGGCCCGGGGGGGATTGGGGGGCTAGTAAGTGCTTAATTCTGGAGATATCTGGGGTTATTACATGGCTGGAGCGGGCTGGACAATGGAAATCACGCGTAAACAAGGAACAACATGCGAGCAATCAGCGGTGATTCGTGCGGGAGCATTTATTGAAGGCTCATACTGACCATTTCGGCAGGACGGACAGCTGAGCTCCGAGGGGCTGTGGAGAAGGATGTGGCGGGGCTGCGCGAGGCCTCCCTTCAGTCTGCCCTGGGCAACACAGTGTTGTTCAGATTGGCTCCTGTCTTCTGAACTGCCTTGTAGCCACGAATTCAACCCGTAGGCTGTCACATAGCGAATCCTAAGCACCTCTCCCAGATACACGGCTAGTATCGGAACCTTATTGGGAATTAGAGACTTTCTGAAAGTTGCAGGTCAGGATTTGTTTGTCTTCTGCAGGAAGGCTTTCGGAAAGGCAGCGCACCCTGTCCAAAGGGCTAGCAAATCTGACTTAAGCCTGGCTTTGCAAAGGAGGGCTTTCTCAGCTAGATTGGGATTTCGGGTTCGAAGCCTAGAGTGCCTTCCCCTGGTGTAGTTTGGATTCAGCGCTTGGGCTTGGGAAGCCCTAAGCCTTAAGACCTTGAGCGCATAACCAAAAAGGATTTAGGATCCTCAAAACAGGCTTGGGATCTTGCAGTCGTCAATATTTAGTGACTCCTTGAAGCTCGAGTTTCAGGTTCCTCGTGCTTGCTGCAGGACTGGCTTATGGAATCACACCTGATGCTAGTACCTCCAACAAGTCTTTAGCTCATTTGGTTGGGCTTGAGGTTTTGGTGAGCTTTCTTTCCTGGTGTGGGTGATGGCGTTTCAGCCTTCTGGATTCAACGTGTGAGTTCTCCGCAGTTCCAGATTCCAGGATAATCTCGCATAGGGGACTTCATGCAAAGATTGCATGTCTATTCTATGCCCACTTTGCAGTGGCCCTGCTGATCCCAAAGCGTTGCTCCCCTAATTTGCAGGAAGGAACTTTGAAGTTGCGAAGAACAGCCGGGTAATCCTTCGAGCACGGAACCTTGATCCCGGCCTCGAAAGTAAATCTCGCTGCAGACAAGCGCATTTCTCGCCGAACAGCACGGGCCTCAGCAACAAGGTTTGTTCGCTTTGCCATCAACACGATCAGTGTAGGACCCAATCAATTTCCGACATTGCAGATGGAACCTTCGCATGGGTTAAAAAATAGTTTTCGTGTCGGCATGGGCCTGAGCTGCGACAACGTCCATCTGGTCCCGCAGTCAAGTCTGATGGCGAGGGCCTGCAGAAGGGTGTCAGGCGACATGCTGAGGGGCTCTGCGGTCAGAATCTGTGCTGGGTCCGAAGATGAGCTACTGGGGTTTGAGGTGCTGCAATTTGGCGATTTTATGCTTACAGTTTTGCTCACCTTGTTTGGGGTTAACCTATTCCTTGTACATATATTTTTTACATGCTTCTGGCATGGGATGTGATGTAGAAATCAGTGTCCGCCCTGACTCGGACACAACCGCCAGAGTTCAGGTTTTAGTTTAACAGCCCGTAGCACGGCGTCCTCAATGGCGCAAACTCTCTCAATGTAACCTACAGTATGATGGATGCAGCATGCCGAGGCGGCGGCGCGCACATCTTTCAAGCACTCCTGGTACCGGGCTCAGCTGGGCTAGATGGCACTGGCATCAGCTTGCCAGTTTATTCCACTTGTTGGCATACATCATTTCTGGCATTGCTTAAACGACATGAGAAAGGTAGCATGTAGGCCTCTCAGTACTACAAGACTCTGAGTTGCGGAGTTTAAACTATTAGGTCTTGTAGCTGTGGGGTTCAGAATTCTGTTTCTGCGTCTTCAGCTCCTATGGCGTTCAGAATTATATTCCTTTGATCTGGACGTTAATGATAGTTCTGGCATGCAGATGATCAGTTCAATCAGTTCGGACGTTGACAGGGCTCAGAGCGCGAGTACATCACAAATGCCCCCACCCCTCAAAATCCCACAGCCTCCTCAAAACAAGCTGCCCGTACACGAAACAAAAGCCGACTGCAAGAGCAATAAGACAATAACAGCAAAGATCAGACACCAGCAAATGTTACATGAACCTAACATCTTGAACCTGTGGGAAAACTAAATTCAAGAAGAAGCAACAGTCTTGAATCAAAACTACGCGCCCTGGGGTTCAGAGTACATTATAGGTATAGAAGGACCCCAAGATTGATGACTAAGGGCCCCTACCCTAAGCCCTAGACCCCATACTATGGGCCCATAGTTCCACCAGCCCTAAACCCTAATCCCCACACTAGGGGCCTGGAGTTCCGACCTTAGAAAAGCCATCCAAGGCCATCGACTCAGCAGCGCAGCCGCCTTGTCGGAAAATCCAAGGCTGGGCCTTTACCGTCAAGTTGTGAACTCTTCTAAGGAAAGTGGAAACTACTACGTAGGGTTTAGGGTTAAGGGGGATATTACTCCCAATACTGGAGAATCAAATGGACATTTACAGGGGTAAGATGTTGTATAGGGATTATGGGGTAGTTTCCACAAATGAGGGTGCCCCAATATAGACCCCCATATACAATAACCCTTGCCATAACGTCTCCCAATGAGGACCCCTAAGTTTCAGAAGCCTCCATGTATCCTCATTCCGACCACTTCATAGTTGTACATCTGATTGAGGGAAATTAGAAGTTCCAGTTGTACTTCGTAGTCAGACTGTCGCTTTTG